CGACCCCATGTCTCCTCTTTCGATTGATGAAATCCGTAGATCTCTAACTTGTTCCTATCAAAAGTTTTTCAAAAAACATCCGAGTGCACTGACTTCTGGCGCCAATATTAGTTAATATATTTTAATGAACTACTATCGATATACGGTCTATGGGAGAGGGAGATGAATGTAAATCTGAACCCTGTGTATTTGCATACTTCTTTTAGATTGTGTTTTACAAAAATATTGAAAATTTACCTTTGGTGCTGTTCTGTCATGGGCTAAATGAAGTTCTATTGTACTGTTTGATATTAATGTTTTTTTCAATATTGATAAAGAATAATAAAATTCTTTTGATTGTTTAATAATAAATTTTGATGTTGATTTTGATGTGGATGTGTTTGTTATTTTTGGTAATGTGACAAGTTCTTTCTTAGTTTGCAAATCTATTTTATTAATTTGACAATGAAATTGTTCAGCTATTTCTTCTAATTGTAATTTTTCATTATTTGTTAATATAGAATTATTTGTAATATATTGAAAAGTAATTGGATATTGTTGATCAATTAAATTATAAATTCTTTGTTGAATTTTTATTTTTAAATAATCTGGAGCATATAATTGATTTTCTCTTATTTTTATTTTGACATTATCATCTTTATATTCAAGTTCAATATTTTCCAATTGATGAGTACAATTATCTAATAGATAATTACGCTAAAAAATAAGAAAGAACTAAATGAATGATATTAAAGAAAAATCCTAGGATCCTATCGAATTTTATTCAACATAACATTCAAATGAAGTATATTTCGAAATTTGTTTGACTACACTTCATTTGGTAATTATTTTGGAAAAATATTCGCAGATGTTTTACTTTAATAATCTATACTAATCAGTTATTCATTCCTACCAATGATATGCTTCATTATCTGCAAGTCAATTATTTCTAAACTAGCATATCTATCGAATCAGTTTAAGATGATTACATAATTAATTTTATGTAATACATACTTGTGTAAGAGTCAAGTCAGTTGTCAATATAGTTAATTGATTTTGGTTTATTATGTATTTTAGTTGTCTAGTTGCACGTTTTACTAAAAACGTTTGGCCAAAGAAACTAATTTTTAATTCTGTTTGTCCTGGATAGATACAATAAATGATTGTATATGTTTCCAATTGATGTTGTTCTTGTTTCTTTTTAGTAATAAAATGTTCTAATTTTTTTCGGAAATTTTTTTGTATATTTTCGAAATCCGATATAATTATATCTCGTACATATAATATATTTTTATTAATTATTTGATTTATATAATCTTCTGACAAACTAAAGACATCAATTTTAGTAAAATAATGAACAACATAATATCCTGATAATATATCCGTCTTTTCCCATACAGTAAATAGTTTTTCTTTATCAAAAATTTTTTGTATAACAGTAACATCAAAATCACAATAAAGATTTTTTGACCAATAAATAACTAAAAATATAAAAAAAGAAATTAAATAATGACAAAATAATTTGATTAAAACGTTGCTTACCTTTTTCATCTGTTTCTTCATTGTTAAAAATTTTTTTATTAACATTTTCAAATAATATTTGTAGATCACTATAAGCATTTTCTAAATTTTTTTTTATACCTGATAATTGTATTTGTATTCCAATATTTTCCTTTTGTTCATCTTCTGATAATATATAACATTTTAAATCATATGTATTTGAAATATATTGTATTAAACTAGAACAAAATAATTCATTTTTAAAAAATTTCAAATTAATATTCATTGGTTCAATAGAATATGTATTTGAATATGTTTTTATATCACTGATTGGTTTATCCAATTTTTTTGGAATATCGACAGATGATGTGACAAGACTAGATAAAAGAAAAAGAATTAAAACATGAGTTATTAATATCTTGTTGATAGTTTAGAGGTATAAAAAACTTGAAGCAAAGCAAGTCATGTAAAAACTATTTAGATACAAGTCTATATGTATAATGCACAAACATCATAATATAATAGAAGTATTTAAAACTAATTTATATCCTCATTCTAGGTTTTATGAATTGTTTATATGTCAAATATACTTACTTTTTTTCATATACTTTGTCTATTGAATTCATGCTAGTCGTAAGAGTGACTACAGTCGGGACTGTATCAGAAGGCATTCTAAAATGTGAAGAAAAATTTGTGAAAAGATGATCATAAAGAAGAAGCTCTATTTAAATTAATTATCTCTATTAAATCTTGAATTTTTATTTGAGATCTAATGACATACATTGGTTGCTGATGTGTATCAATGTCATTCACTTTTGAAACTACTTTCAAATCAGAAGGTACTTTAGTTTTGCTAGATGATGGAACACTAGACAAGATAAATAAATATTTAGATAATATGACAAATGAAATAGACGTTGATATGTAGATTATTTACCGTGTTTTTTTCCTCTGTTTATTTCTCTCAAATTCATATTTTGCTTTCCATACTTCTAGTTCTGCTTTAAATATACGTTTTGTTCGTTGTGTTGGTTTTTTTGCAATACCATCTTGATTTAATACAGATAATAAATTCTCAAGTTGATCATCATTCACTTTCATTAGAGCTTCACCATCAATATTTTCGTCTAGTATCAAGGAGTAAATGACAACATACCTTTAATTCAGGTAGTTCACTTACCTTTAAACCTTGGTATACATTTTTCAAAGCCATTCTTGTTCAACCATTGGCTAACTCGATCTACTGTCCAATTTTCCATCAATAAATCTAAAATATTTAAACGATCAGAATTACGGGTGTGAGTGTGAACTTGTTGAGTATGGATGAGTGTGGACGAGTGATGATGAGAAGAAGATCAAGACCCACATCCGTAACCATTAGATTTTGAAAAGATCTGTCTTAACCTAACCCAGTTCGCCGCTAATGTGTAAATATGTCAAGCAACATTTTTCTCATTTGCTGACAATGCAAGGTATCATATGATACGAGATTTATCAGCCAACGTTGTTGTTTATACGGTCACAGAGCCGGCTATGTTCATTTGTATCTGCACAAAAATTTTTTTTTCTTTATATTCGAATCCCATTAGCTGTGCACGACACGTATGCATTAATGCCCGGTATTCGATACTTTGTTTTTCAGTCATAAGAACTTTCCAAATTTTTCTTTCATATTTAAAAATATTCGATTTAGTTATGGGTATCTTCCTCAAAAAGCTAACTTCAAGGGCTTTTACGTGTACAATTTTTTTCTAATATACTTCGAGTTGTTTTTGTTTGAAAAGTTAATCATTACTGCTGCGGATGAGGGAAAGAGGTTTTTGCATTTTTACTTTGATGCATATTTAAGATTACTGGAATCTCAAAAATCTAGAAACCTTCGATATAGATTCCTAGAAAACTTAGGATTTCTCTAGCATTGAAGACAAATTGAAACCTATCTGGGGGTTCAGAAAAACCTATATAATATCTATAAATATTATTATAAAATCAATAAACTAAAGTGTATTCGAAAAGAGACACTTTGCTCTGCCTAACGAGCTATAAATCACCAAAACCGATAAATTTAGCCAAATTTGACTTTTTCTGAGGAGTGACGAGTCCCTAAAATAAGAAGAAAAGAAAGCTATGATCTGACCTTACCTCAAAAATTTAGTAAATCAAGTGATTTATTATGTTAAAAGTAATATCGATGCTAAACGTGACAAATATGGATTATTAAATGTACAGCCTCAAGTATTCTAATCTATTAAGATACAATCAACTATTTTTCAGTTCTGTATCTAGAACAAAAAATGTTAATTTTCAATAGGCAGGATTATCGTTGATTCTTAGGATGTACATAACTGTTGAGTCAAACTCGTGTACAAAATCATACTTAACATCCGGTCGGGAAAATTTTTTTCTACTCAGAACTCGAACCGACCCAAAATTTTGTATGCGATCCGATTGCAGGGCTCTAGTAATCATAAGTTTTTGTGACTACTGTAAATAGATCAAATTCGTTCGTCGTGATATCCCTGAATCTTGAAAACTTTCAACAAAATTCATCTGGCAAATTCAATTAAAGATAGAATGTCGTTTAGCTAAAAAACTGGGAGTACGTTTAATTGGTTTTTGGTGCTCTTATATGTTTTTTATGTTAATATAAAAGCATTAATATTAGTAATATGTTAAACTAGCACTAATATTTGTGGGACATATGCAATCGGTATGAAACTCAAACTTACTTGGCTTATATAACTTTCGTTGATGCGATGTATCAGAATAAAGAGATTCAAAAGATACAAGTAAATATTATCATTCTCGTATCTGTCTTCATTTCAGTTTGCTTCAATATTCTCTTTTTCTTATCAAGAATAGCTTGTGTCCTTGTCCTTCTTTTGTTGAAGCAAGTCGATTTACACACACAACAGTACTCAAAGAAAAAGTTGAAGAATCAAGAGTAACAAGACGCCAAACGATAAGAGAAAGCACCTTAACAATAAATTATTCCTTACTTGTAATCATCGAACGACCAACGATTGAAAAATATTGACCAAGTAAGTTTTGCAATATTCGAAACACTGCTAGATATAACAGTAATGTCACTGTTCAATTTTTATTGCTTATACTTGCAATGTTGATTTAAAGTGAAGGTTTACCAAAATTTTACTCAAGACAATCCGAAAATATTGATAAAGGTTGTATTAATTTCTTATAAACACCTGGAAAAGACTTTCTCTCTATATGAACTGATAGTAAAATTGATGCTCTATTCAACAATTGTTAAATTAATAAAGTTTTAATAAGAGCTGTTGGGCTACTATGTGTAGTGGTGAAATCAGTTCATATTGCCTTAAATATGCGTTCTCATCTTGATTTTCTCTTCTTCTTCTCCTTTTTTCTAAAGAACCTAGGTGTCAATGTGAATCTTCTCATGGCACAATAGATCATACAGATAATTTCTACTCAACGATATTGTCTGTTCTGTACTATTCATCATATACTCTCTGAAGATTTTTTTTTAGATATCAAAGTCAATGGCAGATTGGACTATAGATCAAGTTGGTGAATGGTTGATAGAAAACGGTTTTGAAAATAATGTAAAAACATTTAAAGGTAAAACAAACTTTTTGTATTTAATTTATGTTACCTTTCTTTTATAAATTATTATATTAGATAAAAACATTGATGGCTTGGCTCTAATGAGAATGAGTGATGATAATATTTCACAAATGTTATGTACTTTTGATGAAGATGAAATTATTGAAAAACCAACAGATGAAGTAAAAACAAAATTTAAAGAAAAACTAGAGGATTGGAAAGTAATGGTTGAATTAGAACAAAATAAACAAGTGATCAATGAAAAAGCAGAAAAGTGAGCAAATTTAATATAAACATTCATTTTTGTTGTATATGCTTAGGTATTCAATTAGAATGTCTATTTCTTCACCGTCTATTAAGACTAGAGATTATTGGATGGATGAAGAGACCTTTTCAAATATGGGTTCTATGGAAGACAATGAAGAAAGCTCGTGAGTATATCGAAGTTTCATTGAAAAATTTTAGATTCGATCGTTTCTAAAAAATCTACTAACATAATTATTCTTTTTGTTTTAGAAAGTCTGGTGATTCATTATCTTCTACTTCCTCTTTTACGAATGATTCGCCTGATTTAAATAAAGTAATTATATAACACTTTTTGATAATTATGAATTCATGAAAATTTAGAATTTTATAATGATTGATGTCCATAGTAATTTCGAGTTAAATAATTTAGTTAGGGTGATTGCAAGACAAGTGTAGAACTGATAGACATTAAAACATGGCGATTATTGTGTTTATTTCTATGAAAAAAGAAAACAAGTAATCTTCCACTTTTATTTTCTGAGAGATCATCGAATCAGTGTCAAACACGTAGCTACTAAACATCAACTGTCGGAATAAATAACTATATCTCAAAATTAAAGAAAAATCATTTGCATTCTCTATATTGAATGATTCTTCAAATTTTCTTACTACTAAAACCCACTGAGCACTGAACTGTTTGCCACAAGAATAAGACAGTTTTTTTTTCAGCTCAACAAGTTAAGGAAAATTCTGTCTGCGTTCGATAGTGAATGCTGTTTTGCTAATAGAGTGCGGAGCAACATTTTTTGAAGTAATTCTACAGTGTATCAAGTTGATGTATGAGAACAGCAGTGATTTGAACGAAAGAAAAAACGTCAAAAAAAGATAGATCGAAAGTGCTTTGAAACCATTTAGTCATTCTCATTGTCACCAAAGCTGCGTATATAATCTACAAGAGAACCCATATGTGGTACTTATCCATGCTTTGTATGACTCGAACCGTATTAAGACAAGTAACTTCAATATCTTTTACCTCTGTATGCTTATTTTTAACTTTGAATACTTGTCTGCATTTTTCTTTTCATATTTTTCTGCTCTTTCATGGATCACTAATTATCAGTTTGATCTTAATCATAGTGATATTCTCAAGACCTGGAATATCTTTTAAGGACATATTATAGAAAGATAAGATTTTAATTTTCCGACTTCTGGTATTTCCTCAGAATTTTTTATTTCCCGTTTTGCCTATATCTTTATAGATCGACTCACCAAAACAACATATGGTGAAGACACCCTCGCCGCCAATATCCCCTCATGAAGATCAAATAACTGACATTACTAGTAGTATTGATAAAACAAAATATTTAATTAATGATAATATTCATATTCAATTCTTCAAGAATCCAAAATTTGGTCCGTATCTAATAAAATATTTACAACAAAAAACATCTGGTGTGGAAATTACAATTGAACAATCACCATCTATAAATAATGAATTACCGGCATCATTCAGCTACACATTATATTTATCAGGACCAAATCAAGATATTGAATCTACTTATGATGAGATCAGCAAATTGTTTAATACCGTAAAAATAAAAATATATAAATCGGGTCGAGGTAAAAACTTGACATTATGTTTATTAAAGTTCAAGGTTTACAAGTTAAAATGCACTAAAAAAGAAATTTTAAACATTAAAAATTTTCAGACAAATTGAAGATGAGAGAGAGAGAGAGAACATAGATCGATTCCGATAAAAAAATCTACGATAATTTTCTCATGGGAAACAACTAGTATATTTTTCTGTATTTAAACAAAATATCATATCATAAATTATGTGTTTTTTTTTATATTTCAGTTAGAACATGGTTACGCAATCCATTAGCAGTTGGTATTATACAAGCAATAATGGATAATGAAAATAATCTATTTACTATATGTCAATCGAATGGAAGATATAATGAAATTCTGGAAATTTTTTATTTTGATGATGAAAACTTTAATCATCTTCAAAGTATTGATCATATTATTGAAAATGATATTCTAAAGAAGATTATTACACTACCATCAATAGTCGATAAACACATTATAAAAAAATCTAAAAAAAATACTAAACATAATATTCAACATGAATATTCTATTACTTACACAAAACAATACCAAAATAAATTAAAGGAAATGATAGAGAATTATAATAAAGAAAATAACATGATTTCTATTATTTTAAATGAAAAAATGTTTAATAAAGTAAGAAAACAACGGAGTATTCATATATTTGGATCTATCAAATTAGTTAATGAATTTATACAAAATTTTCAAAATTTAGCTGATAAAGATACATTGACAATCTTCAAATTTAATCCAATGACATCGATTCAAGTAAGTATTTTCTGTTTTTATATAAACAACGTTTTGAGAGAATAGAAAATATAAAATCCTGTGCTCAGATCCTAGATCAACTTAAACATTTCCCCTTAGCTCATATCAAATTCGCACTTTCGCGATCAAAACTACACTTGTGCTATTTGATAGAATTCCATGAGTTGTCGTTGAAACTACTATGCATAGGTATTATGAACTAAGTACTGTGCTCACCTGACAACTATTATATCTAAATGACTTTGATATAAATAGCAATTGCTAGAATGTAAACGTCTAGAGTTTACACTAAAAATATTAGATTTAATCTGATTCTTTATCAAATGATTTTTCTTCATAGATTTACATAAGTTTTAGTAGTAATCTGAATCTCTATCGATTTTGATTGTATAAATCAGAATCCAACGTGAATTAATTTTTTCGAGATTTGACATGATCCAATCCTAGTCAAACTCTAGTATAAATTGATGAAATTAAAAATCTTCGAGCAGTAAATGATCTTCCATGTTAACATTTTCAAAAACTAATCATGACTTTGAGTGTAAATCGTATTGTTTCTTTAGATGGAATATCTTACAAATATTGGTTCGAAAGAATTAAAAGCAATAGAAAAAGAATATCAAAAAGATAATATCAAAATACGAATACGGCATGATGAATTTTATGCACCAGAAAAATTCAAAAATGATATTGAGCTTCGAATGAATTCTTTATTATCTTCATTAGAATCAATCATATTTGAATGTATGCCATTATATTATGATATAGCTGATAAAGAAATCTTACATTTGAAAAATATTGCACGTAAAAATCATTGTGGTTGTGAACTGAAATTGAAAAAACAATTGAAATCGTATACAATTCCAAAAGCCATGGAAACATCATCCACAATCAATCTTGTTTCAAGATCACTTATGAAACAATCTGAATTATTTTGTTCTTTACCTGTAGTTTCTCAACAAGCAAAATCATTGAATGGATCAATTGAAGTTCTTATTGGTGATATAGCAGTACAAAAGGTTAGCAAAAAAACAAACTATGCTTTGTTTTTCTATTATACAATTAGATAAAGCAGACTAAATTGATCTTTGATATTATTTCATACATTGTTGTTTCTGACTTAACTATAACTTATTATAATCATTTTGAATCTAACATTAATATCGATCAAAATTCATAATTTATTCTAACAAGATTTGAGTAATCTTATCAATGAGTTTTGTTGGTATCTGTTTTTTTCATTGTAGTCATTTCGACTCTTAAGAAAAGAATAGTTTTTCTTAATTAAGGATTCTTTCTAATGTTCTAGGCTGATGCACTGATTATTCCACTTGTATCATACGGATTAAAACAAAGTCTTATTGAGCGAGCAGGTAATATCATAAGACAAGAGCAACAATTAGATCAAACCGAAAAAGATCAAAATTCAACTCCTTTCTTCATTGAAACAATAGCAAGTAATTTAACATGTAAAATTGTCTTATTTTCAAATTGGTCACCATTAGAAGTAACGATGAATGATGATAATTTACGTGAACACATACGAAAATTTATTACGAAATCAATTGAATATATCATTCTGAAAAATGAACAATCGAATATAAAAATTGAATCAATTGCATTTGCAGTACCTGATTCATGTAAACAAGAAAATATTTTAGCTGAAGAAATGATTAATGAAACAAAACGACAAATTGAATTAATAAAATCATCATTAAAAATTTCATTTATTCTATTATCTGATCAACAAACATTACATCAACACTTTTTAACAGCTATTCAAAAGATACAATCAAATGATGATGTTTATGCAGTATTTTCCTGTCCAATATCAAGTAAGATGTTATCTAATGATATTTTTACTTCTTTGAATCAGACTCATAAAAGAATTTTTACAAGGATACAACAGAGTGTATTTATCAGTAGAATAAGTTACGCTGTTTGTATTTTTTTTTGAATATGTCTCCTATTTTCACTTGATTCACATAGATTTTTACGGCTATTTCTAAGTTTTAAAGTATTTATTTTTTTTTCAAGTATATCCTAGAAGTATTTTAACACTCAATTATGTTAGAGAATTTCAAGTGAAATCTAAAAAACGATGTTTTGATCAAATGCAGAAAAAAAAATAAAGTTTTCAAAAATCATTCTGAATAAATCGAATGATCTTTTTTCATTTATTTTATTTCAGCTATTACAGTTAGTTTAATTTCATCCGATAATGAAAATTTAACAAAGTGTAAAGACAAAATAATGAATTATATAAAAAGATCTATGGTTAAAATAAAATTAGATGAATTCAAAGATTGGAATCAATATATGATCAATGCTTTTTATAAGTATTGTTATGATAGATGTGTTTTACCAAAAATAGATGATGATAAACGAATTCGATTAATTGGTCCAATCAATAATGTTTATGAAGCTAAGCATAAATATCTATTGACAAATATATTAATACAAGAAAAAGTTCATTTACAACAACTATTAACTACAACACCACGAACAAAATCAATTATTCGATCTCAAATAACTAACAATATATCAACCATATCATCTTCTATATGTTACAATATAATGTTAAGTTATTGTCAAGAAGATTCGATTATATCTCATCGTTTAGCTGATCATCTTATTGATGAAGGTTTTTCTGTATGCATTGATTTAATTGGATCTAATGATACTTTTTCACAAATTAATAAATCTGAATGTATCATTCTTTGTATCAGTGAAAATTATGTTGAAAATAAATTTAGTCAAAATACAGTAGAATATGTCAAACAAATGGATAAACATATTATTCTTGTAAAAGTTCAAAATTATACGTTAAATGATTGGTTACAAGAATTAATTCCGAATGAAATCTATTTTCAATTGTTTGGATCAGAAAATCATTTTGATTTACAATATGATAAATTACTATTAAAAATTGTGAGTATTCAGTACAATAGATAAATTTAACTACATATAAAATTGTACATGTAAATTGTTCTCGTTTTTCTGCATGGATCCCAAAATACTTTCTGTACTATTCGTATCTTGTATCGAAGACAACACTGTTGTATGGAAAAAAAAAATTTAAAAACCATTACTGACTCCTATCAACCTGCCCCTTAAATTTCGTACGCCGTGGCCTATGCATCTCTTTATTTCAAAGTCTACAAAAACCTTTTAGAATAGTTCGATTACTTTTGAAATTTGTTTCTCAATATTCAAGTTCAAAGTTCTAATAAACATTTTTCACTAAACTTGAACTAATCAAAGAGCTATAAAATCTCTGCTTTTTCAACTCTTAAAAATAAATAAATCAACGATCTGACCACTGAAATGTCTTTGATTTTTAATTCAGTTACAATATACTCAACCAGGTTATGCTTCTTTACTTCAAAAAACATCTAATGGATCTATCATATTACAGCAAAATGATATCGTTAGATCTCATCGATATTACAGTTTATTAAATTTTCTATTGACACCTAAACAACGAGAATCAAATTATCAAAAATATGTAATGAAATTAATAAACTTGAAAAAAGGAAAAATAGATGAAGATGAAAGAAAAATTCTTATTAATGAAATTGAAGAACTTATTCGTACCACAGAAAATCAATGTAGACAAAATATTAAAGAACAGAAAAAGTCTCATTATTATTATGATGGTGATCAAAGTGAGTTTATTTCATAATTTAACTATCATTTTTCGTCATTTTTCAGCAAATTTACAAACTTCAGATGATGAGTTAAAAGAAGATGAATTGAAATTACAGATTTTGTTCGACTCAGGAATATTATCTGATCAATTCATGTTGAAAAAAGCACTAGACTTGAAGACAAAACAGAATATTCCACCATATACGGTATCTGGTGATATCAATGATGCACCATTTCCAATGATAGATGAAGTTTTACGAAATCCAAAATTAATAGTTCGTACAGGAATAACTGGATTGCATCATGGTAGCTTCAAGTCTTATTTCAGCTGGAGCTTTAATAATCGCTATCTGAAATCTTTGCGAAAACAGAATAACAAATCTTCACAACATGAAGATACTAATATGGACTTGAATGATGATGAACCAAATATTCAAACAATATCAAATGAAGCTACGAGTTCTCATTCTTCTGATATGGCAGATGAAGACAGACTAAAAACGTTTCAAGATTTTGGAGAATCAAAAAAAACGATTAAACACCAAGTATTAGTCCAAAAAGACTTTCCCAAGAAGAGTACTTATTCAGAACAGGAAATAATGGAATTTCGCAAAAAATTTGTCCAACAAATGAAAGATAATGAAAATGAATTGAATAAACTTTGTGAAGATATTAACCTGTTACGTAAGTCATCAAGACAACCTATACATGCTGATTTGACCGCTATATTTTCTTTATCGAACGTGTCGGATGCGGAAGAAAAACCCATTGAAGCCTTACAAACTCATGGTTATCGTGAAATTCCATTAAAATTTCCCTGGAATGGAGTATTTGATACAAATGCCTCGTCACTGATACAACAACATCCATCAGCTTTGTTTTTTATTGAAGTTCCACAACAAAAATAACTTCACTATAGCGAACTACGTAATTAAAGTTTTATGATTTATCAATTTCATCAATCATTTTGAAATAAACAAGACGTGTATCCTATTGAAAAATATTCATGAAGAAAAATTTGTTTATGACCGACAAGAATATGTTCTGCATTTTAAGGAATGCGTATGAATCGTTGCTTCGACGATTAGAATAATTTCCTTCCCGTGAGTTTTTTGGAAAGGAAAGGATAGAATTCTATCGAAATGGCATCGTCTTCTTTAACGTTCTTCAGAAAAATACCTCAACATGAATTCTTTGAGCTGATGAACGTATTCTAGATAATTCGACATCATGCTTAGAAAAAAAAGAACGTCTTTCTTGTAGGGTGTGGGTGTAGATGTAGAATGCTTGTAAGAGAGGGGGGCTGAAGGGAGGGAGCAGGCCTTCCATTTTCTTCCACCCACGCCCTTGTTCACTTGAATATAAACATATATCAATTAAATCAACTTGATTTCTTTCATTAGATAATAATGAATCATCTTTAATATTACATGATCGCGCTATTAATTTGCCCTTTGCATCTTTTTCTTCACATTTTAATAATTTAATAAAATAAATTTTAATAGATCTATTTTTTTCATCATCTCATCAATAAAAAGCAAATTCGAGCTTGAAAAAAATACTATTTTGACTTATTTATCGGATGTTTTTTCAAAAGCTATAGAATTACAGATGGAAGCTTCTGGAAATTTTTGAATTTGCCAAATAGGGTTAAGTGGATGCCAAAAACTAAGATTTATTTAGTATCTATTCAATCAATATGGTGTGATAAGGTGTTTCAAAAGCTACAGAATGTGTCTATTTTCTTTTGCTTTTAGTACTCCGCTTCATGAAAGCACCTAGACAAAGTAGTTTTTCAGTTGAGAACGTTGATTCATTTCTAAGTGTTAAATATTTTTTCACTTAATTTATTTTCTTATTATTCTATAAAAGTAAGACTTTAGAACGTTTTTGTTGAGATTTCAGCGACACATATTTGACTAAAACAAACTAATCAAGAACTTGAGAAGGACAAAAATTATGCCTCAAAACGCTAAGAACTTCATCATTTATGAAACAATGGTTATAATGATAAATCAAGAAACACCTTTCAATCGATTACATACGGAATATGATCATTTATCGTCTTCTAAAATAGTTGAAAAAGGAAATGAAACAAACTTATTCTATGAGTCATTAATTATAACTTTTCAGCACGTTTAGTGCAAAAATTTGAAGGTAAACCTAAACAAGTTTTGACTAGTATATTTTATTATGATCTTTGTTTATGTTACATAATAAAAGTTTCTTGACAGTTTAATGTATATTAGAGCGTGAGTTTACGTATATAATGGAAAGACTCATACCCACATTCAACGAATTGTCAAACATAATAATAAGATGAAAGGTCGAGAAGATACTTTATGTTCTGGTGTATGTCAATTTTCAAAATCAATATTTTGACAACACATTCTATTGTTCATGGCAATCAAAGATTGAACTTCTTTTGAAAAACATCAATGTTCGATAAGATATCATCTAATATATGCAGAGTTTCTCATGAGTAACGATGTTTTCTTCTCAAGAATATTCAACTTGGCTTGATACAATTTTCAATCGGATTTTTTCATTGAGTTATCATGATTCAATTGAATAACAGCGAAAAACGTTTCTTATTACCTGTTTTTTTCTGAGATGAACATTTGTTCCGTTTTCACAAATGTTTTCTTGTTATATATTTTATTTTGTGACAAAAAAAACTAAAGTGAGTAGGAATAAAATAACCATGAAATAGATTTATAAGACAAAAGTCAAACTGGTTTCAATTGTCGAAGCAAAATATTATGATAGATCAGATGCGTATCAGTTCTTTGTTGACGGCAAAACTCATTTCAAAAAATATGCGTAATAAACATGGATTAAATCACGTCATGCATTCCGATTTAAGTTGATCAATTCGAAACAGGAACCATGAACTTTCTCGAGAATGACAAAAATACGAATATCTTATATTTGAACATGAATTGAGATAGAAATAATGGAGGCTTGTGAGCGAGTACAAATATCGATTACTTATCAACAGTTTACAATTACTAGTATCTCGATTATTGTCTTGATTTTTAGCTTTTTATTCTAAAAATGCGAGTTTCTTATTGATTTTCTTGTCTTGTTGAAGAGCTCGTATTTCGTAGCTAAGCAAACGTTCATCTTCAAGAAGTTTCGCATTATCGTATAAATAATAGTAATGTCTCTTGACGACCTTTAAATTGTAAATATTTTGTTGTTCACTTCAATTTGCGCATATTTGAAAAGACCAACAAAAGAAAAAGTGAAATGGATAACTACAATAATAGGAACAGCATATTTTTAAAAAAGTATTCATCGTTTGTCTACAACTTCACGTTTAAGTTTAGCAGCCATTGCTCGTCGTCTGATTAATTCATCTTCCAATATTTGCGTTTTATTGTTGTTGATTTTCTTGTTTATTTTCAACGGTTGTATCCATAGATTGACGTGCAATATGTACAGCTAATTATGATCGAGCATTACATGATTGTTGTTCGAAATCTCGTGTACATATGGCTTAAAAAAGAAAATGTTAATGAAATGAAAATAATCATGATCATATATGAATTAAAAAATTTTTCGATAGATTTCAACATTAGGTCGAACATCATCACCAGATTTCACTCGAGCTGAACGACAAGTAGATGGCAAACAAAACGTCAAATCGATGATTGAAAAAGAGTTTAGTGATAATGAAGATGAAGAACTTTTTCAAATAAAAGCATAAAGCAAACATGATTATGTTGATGATGTTCAAGAAGAGGAGGCTCAAGCAGATCCTGAAAAGCCAACGATGGGTACGACGAGTGGTCAAAACTTGAACATACATTTTTTATCTCGTTCTGTTCGAATTTCGAACCCCTCGATGGCTATCGGCTCTCGAGCCCTCGGAAAGATTTTCCTATCGCACATTTATTTTCGATTATTCGGGCATATTTTGACCGCTCGAAAACGATTGAAATATCGACTACACGAAGAGAGGACACCTATCAGAAAGATTATTTCGATTATTCGATATGACTCCGATGAGTCGGAGCCCATCGAACTATCGTGTGGTCGGAAACATTGTTTCATGTTGCTTCCATTTTCGACTCCTTGGGCATGTTTCGACGATTCGTAGTCTATCGAAATTTCGACTACTCAAAGACAGGAAATCCATAGGAAAGATAGTTTCGATTATTCTTTTTAACTTTAATTGCTGAAAACGTCTGAGAAATTCAGTTTTTGACTGATATTTTTACTCTTATTACATGATCCACTTGGAGAATTTTGGTTTTCTACAGGTGCTTTCACGTAGTGTAATCATTTAAACAATATTATTTATCATTTACAGCTAGAACAACGATAGAAATATCTTTACAGTTCTAAGAAAAAAATAATCTAAATGAGCTTACTTTCATAACACCCTAAATTTCCTGAGCTCATGACTAACTCTGATTTTCAATTAGTTGTTGATAAAGAAAGTTCATGGGATCATTTAAAACTATGGGTTTATTTTTTAGTCCTCGAAATTACTGAAATAGTTGAATATTATAAACTTAATAAGGATACATAAGTCGAGTTTATCTAATTTTAGTTTCAATAGATTTGTTTGTTGCTTTTTTTTACGTAATCTAATTAAGTGTAATGTAACTTATGCTTTAGCATAAATTTTTTATTTAGTACAATGAAACTGATAACAGATAAAATCTTTTTTTTTAATATCAACAATAGCTATATATATATCATGAGTTGTTTTTTTAAAAAAAACCAATTAAATTTATATTTAAAGCACATAGAAAAAATATAAAAGTTAAACATATTTCGTCATGACACTTACATTCATCTAAAATTAAAGCGTTATATTTAGTTCATGTGATCTATGCAAGCTTCGTATCCGTAAGTACATATGTTCGAATCTTCACTTCGACATTTATATCCGATAGGTATCGAATGCTCGAAGAAAATTAGATGCAGAGAGCAAATTTTTTTTGAAATTTCAAAAAAACGTTCGACTACTCGGAATATCGACCCCTCGCGATCCCTGAAAATCGGGCCCATCGAGAAAGATCCATCGATGGGCGTCGAAGTACTATCTCGACACGTTGGAGTGCCATTTTCCAATAGGTCGAGGGGACGGCGATGGGTGAACAATTCTTAATTTCATCAACCTATCGGATGGTTCAGATCGACACCTCGAAATATCCATAGCATGACTGCTTGGGTCATAACAATGAAAAAACATTTAATATTATATGAAAGACATAGTGTCCTACAAGTGTTTTGCAGAAATTACATATAGTAGTGCTAATGTATGAGCAGATCCGATTGATAAAAACAAAGAAAAAAGAAATAAAAATTGATGCACTTCAAGTTTCTGAACGAATGTTTTCATATTGTCTACGAGATTTTCTCAAAGTTTTGTTTGTTTTTTGGCATTTAATGCTATTATTGGGTGTGGATGGGTGTGGGTGTGGGTATGCGGTGTGAGTGTGGGTGTGGGTGTGGGTGTGTGAGTGTGAATGTGGATGTGTGAGTGTAGTTGTGGATGTGGGTGTGGGTGTTCTACCTTCAGCGACACCACTACTCACACCGACCCACACTCTCACCCACACTCTCACCCAGACACCCACAACTCACACACTCACACCACTCAACTTACATCCACACACACCTTCTCGAAGATCTGAAAATCATATGGCGCATGGGCCCAACTGCTTTTCAGCGCTAGAACATGTGTATCCAAAAACATTTATAATGTTGAAAAGTCAAGCTGATTTAAGCGGAGCTTTTTCATTTCATATGGACCTTGAATTTGAAGAATGAACTTTAATCAGTATTTGTTGTCAGTTGACGTTTTTTTCCGGTTACATACATCAGTACTGTCATGCCTCTTTCGTTCAAAGAATATGGCAAATAATCTGAATCGAATGCGAAAGAAGAATTCAGCCGTTATGCGATCAGTTGTTCAGCCATCTCATCAAGAGTTCTCACTAATTGTTGGGAACCATGCCGCTGTTTCAAATGTTGTATAAACATTGGATAGAATAGTTTGTGATATAGAATCGGATTAATATTCTGACGACCTTGAAGAACAGTGAAGAGATCGTGACTAGTGGTCCATAAGTTGGCAATGGGTGCTCCGTCGGCCTTATCGATCTCTTGTCGACGCCATTGAAGACCAATATTGATTGATTCAATAAGTCGATGCCGCGTGAAAGATGTCCAATCTGTATACCACCATACACTTGGACCATAGAACTGAAGTGGTGGTGCAGATGATGTATTTGAGCGATGAAAATGGTACATATCGAATGTGTTTGTACAACGAGCGGTCAAATAATAGAGCGTATATTCCGTCCACGTCCGACCAAAAAAGACTCGCGTAAGACCAAAGTTCGCTAATTTGTTCAAAAACAATCGATCACCTACAAAGTCGATCGGTACATATGATAAGATCATTGTGGTCACTTTTTAGAACTAAAAAAACAGCAAAATCCTATCATTCAACTTACCATAAAGTTCTTGCAATCGACACAATGTTCTCAATGCAATTGTTTTCGACAGAATGACTGGAGTCACACCAAAGGTTGGTGCTGTTGGGTCAGTTGAAGCACATGTCTTCGGTACGATATTTAGCAATAGTTCACTTTCAGGCCACCATGAAGAACGATCCGATCGTTCTTCGACCTGATACAATGAGAGATACGAAGGGGAAGTATGGGTATATTGTGTTGCTGACCTAGTTGGTCGCCACAACAAGTGTTCAACATGAATGGGCCAGATAGCAACACAGTCCGAATCAAGTATTAAATAAAATTCAGTTTTTATCAATTGAGCAAGAACCAATTTAAACATCATTTGAAGTCGATAGAAGTTGGTGTGTATATGTTTCAGAACAAGATTGTCGGGCATGATGGATAAAGGCCAGGGCCAATGACGCGCTCGATCTCCGGAAAAATATGATTCGAGAAGAAATGCATCTTGAGGTGGAACAAGAAATATGACCTCAGTGAGTTTTCGATGATCAAGATGACATGCGAGTGCGGACAATGTGAGTGGTAGTCGTTTGAATTCGGGTCGTGCTGTGACAATAACAACTGTTAGACGATCATCAATCGTGCTGCTATTGTCCGATTGTAAGACACGTGGCCATTGATGATGATGAGCGTCAGCTATGCAAATTAACGGTTCCACATGTTGGACGTCGGTCAGCCAGGGAATATGCAAGTATGGTGGAAAAATAAACTTGGGTTGACCATTGAATACCAAAATAGCGATCATGAGAAGAAAAACAGATAGCTTGGCGTATCTAGAACAACAGCGACCTATTCGAAGAGCTTGATTGCTAAGAGCGGTTACCTGAAATATAACATAATCAATATAAGATTTTCGATACACGACTTTCGACTTACAGTCATTTTTGAATACCAGTCATTCATATTTTTGATGCCTATTATTGAACTTTGATGCAATCATACCATCATTAGTCTAAAATCGTATTAATGATAAAACAAAAGTATGATGGTTCTCATCAACGTGTTCTCATGTTCGTTCTCATTACGTTCTTTCATATCACAGGTGCTTATGAGGCATTGTAGGTAAGCCAAGATCACTGTTGCTCAATCAATCTCATCAACTTGGCTGATATCTCTATGGTAGATACATACATCTGAGTTAGGAATTAACTGGAACTTTCAGCTCAAACGCATGAGCCATTCTGGAGACATCGGTGTAGCAAGTATGACTACTCTGCTAAATTTGAAGTACGTTAATGTGCAATGTTTTTCAGTGAATTTTCATTTTCTATAGACCAATAAGAATTAAATCAGAGATTTTTCTATCGTAAATACTATCAAACATGGGCTATCTGTTCATGCTAATGAAAGTACCTTATCGTCTGATATTTCTGGGCTGGTATTATACGCCATTTCCAGAAAGCATGAGCCCGGGGATAAGACGAGTTGGGCAAATCAGCCGTTTAGAATAGCTTGAAAACAGTCGAATTTGAAGAAACACATCAAAATGCACCGAATCGTGTTTTCAAAAATTTGATACATTGAGTTTTGGTATTTTAAACAAGATTACAGACACAGAAATTCCCATACCATTCTAAGTATGACATTATAAAATTCGTCTTAAATGTTGAATTAATATATCTCAAATGAAAGCCCATTATAAGAACCCCTAAGATCAAAATTTTGATTCGTTTGGGCGTACCTGCAAAAAATGGCGAAAGATTTGTTTTATCACATCTTATTTTATGGCATTCAAATTAGTTTATTTTCACATCTTCATATTTCAGTAAAGAAGCAATAAGACGAACTGAAATTTTCATTATCACCTATTTTCATTATGATCTTGATGTATGCAAAATTTTAAGTAGAAAATCGAAATTCGATTTGACCGATGTCTCTGAGGCAAACCACAGCACTATCTTAGAAGTAATCCGTAAAAAGTCGATATTTTGGTAAAAACAAATTAAGAGTAAGAACTCTTTCAATGATTTTCAACGTTCATTACGGGTCACACGGCACACACAGTTGTCATCTGAAAATAGTTTGTCATGAAGGAACAGTCTCTCGTAAAGCATCTGAGAAAATAGGGTCGACCAAATATCATTTGAAAAGATATGAAAAAATGAATTTATCGCCATTTTCCGCAGGTACATCCAAAAGAATCAAAATTTCGAGCTTATGGGTTCTCATTATGATCTTTCATTTGAGATACATAAATCTAATATTTAGCAACGAATTCTATACTGTCATACTTAGAATGGTATGACAATTTTGGTTTAGCGGAATTTTGGCAGCTGGAATTTCGTCATCGGAAGTAGGACAATATTGTCGATTTTTCACAATTGTTGAAATTCTTTAAGAATTACCAGAATATAAATTCTTGCTGGGTATTTTATTGTCCAATATACGATAGAATTTGGACAATACTAATAATGACTGGGTATTTTATTGTCCGAATTCCATCGAAATTTAGACAATATACACAACAGTTAGAACTATTGTGTTTGGCTGAAACACAGATTCCCTCATTTGTAGGTCAATGCATAGTTAAGAATTACTATATAAGCATACTAATTATCACATGAAAATCTTTTTATTTGGGCTAGCAGTACCCAAAAAGTAAAAAAAAAAGAAAACATTTAGTTTGTAAATAAATAAGCCTATCATGAGAAGAATCTGGGCGTGATTCTTACCTTATCCACACCCACACCCGCGTTCATTGCAATTAGAATACATGATCCCTACAGTACAGCTATGCTTCTTCATAGTAGCTACCAGAAATATAACTAAAAACATGTTCTAATCCGGTGGTGGAGTTAGTGGGTGGTCAGGGGAGGGGATGCTGAGCCCTTCCTGGTGAGATTTTTGGAAGATGTATTTTATTCACTACGGAGGACTTAGACCAGATATTCAGAATGCACCCGCGTGTGTGAACGGGGGCTCGGTAGAGTTTTAGGAAACTTATAAGTATCTGAGGAAATTTTTTGAATAATTATCAGTGACACATTAAATGTCGCACTGTTATTTTCTGTCTCTGAGGAATTTAACATTTGTTCAGATTTTGGTTTCGATCTAGCTGGATACAAAATTTGTTTTTCTATAAAACTGTCAAGTATTTTGTTCAGTGAAATTTTTCATGCATGCATAAACTTGATCGGAAAAAAATGTCTTGAATTGTCAAACTGCGATTTCCTAGTTTTCTGTGAATAAAACACGATTTGTGTGAGCGTGCTCTCTTCAAGATCGGTACCAAAATCTAAATGCTGTATACCAAAAGAGAGCATTTTTGCTCTACATGTTCAGGACCTAAGTATGGTTCTGAGTGTTTTGTTCAGCAGAAAAAAAGTTGCGAACAAAAATCTCAAGATGTTTTTGGGTGCATCATAAAAATTATCTTATTCCAAGTCAGACTGGTCCTTTCAAATACTGATTATCTTAACATGCATCGGATACACAATTAAATTCTGAAAAAATGGGGCACGTATTTCCTTGAACAGGTAAAAAAATTAATCTACTGTGAATCAATGGAAAGCAATAACTCAGATTCGTTCAAGACCAGTTTGTTTTAGGTATTTCGATATTTTCTATTTCGAAATTCTTTCTTGCAAATATTTGTTCTAACACTGTGAGAGTCATACCAAAAAGTGCAAAATTTTGTGCAAAATATTGTAGCATATTTCAAATCTTAGAAGATTCGTTTCCAAAAATTCTAAATTTTCCCACGTTCTTGATCTTCGCACTTGTACGATATAGATGCTAATCTGACTAACTTTCCTTTAAACACAAAAATTTATTTGAAAAGCAAAACTGATAGTTTTATAGAAAATTGAATTCTCTATGCATTTGCATAAAAGTCAACTTTTAAATAATTGTTAAATGCTTCAAAGATAGAATATAAAATTGAGTCATTTATTATTTTTCCCTCTCAGGGTAAAATCTTACAATTTTCCGAAAAAAATCTTTGATTAAAATTTTTCATGAGGGAAATTTTTAGTAAAAATATTTGCTGTTTGAGGAAACCGTTTTTAGTGACACGTTCTGCACTTTGGGCTCAGACCATCCGTCAGAGCCTCTTAGCCTTCTCTGATGGAATTTTCGAAAGATGTATTTTATTTGTCGGAGGATCTAACGTTTGGAGAGACGGGAGGTGAGGCCCCTCCCCATCTCCTCCCCCAAAATTCTGACTCCATCACTGTACTAATCAATAACAGAATTTTGCAGAGAACTATTTCTTTGGCAGAGATCATAAGACATCTAGCATCACATTAGAATGTTGTGTACTTTACGAGAACTTGGTATGATAGTGTTTTATTTTTAACGAACAACGCTTCTGTAACATATGAATTTGATTACGTATTATATTTGTATTTACAATACTATTGGGGATAATCAACATCTGGAGAGAAGAGTATTTTTTCAGACTAAAATATTGTCAACGAATTAAAGCCATCGACACATTAGAGGACCCGGGATCTTCTATTCTGTCTTATTGTTCATAAGTTAGAAGGGGATCTTCTATTATGTCCCTAAAAATGTCATATTATTTGGCAATTCCGCCAACAAATCTTAGCTTCACTCGATTTTTGCCCAATATATCGTTAGTAGATGAGTTTGTTTAACTTATTGCACGTATGTAGAATAAAAAATAAACAGATATTATCCTTGAAAAAAGGGAGACCATGGTTCGTAAGAAGTGTTCTTAGAATAATACAGTTAACGTAGCCTAGTATTTTGGTACGATATCCAGTAGCGTTCTTTTTTCTCAAGGCTAAGACCTATCACTGGTAAAAT